TAGGTGAAAAACTCATTTAATGTGAATAAGAACTACTTCAAGGATGTTGTATCCGTCCTACGCTTTTCAAAATACAGAATATGTATACGTATCTAGCGGTAGGCAGTAGCACTAAAAAATTGGAAGAGGAAGATCTGGAATGGGTATAGAGATAAATGATAGGTGCCTATTTACTCTTCAGTTTGCAGATGATTAGGTCATAGTGGCCAGTGACAAAGAGGACATGCAATATATGATTAGAGAGCTGATGGAAGAGTACCAAGAATGAGGCCTGAGAGTTATTATAAATAAAACAAAATATCTATATGTGTAGGCACCCAGAACGGAAACTTGGAAGTGGAGAATGGTTAAGAAATTCTCTCGGAAATTCTGCAATGTTAGGCATATGAGTATCTCGGTATCACATAGCTCAAGACATTGCAAGGAAACAACTTACCTGGTACGGATACGTAGAACGAATTCCAAATACCAGAAGGCCAAAAAAAATGCTGCACTGGCAACCAACAAGTAGAAGAAAACGAGGAAGACCTAAACTGAAATGGTATAAGACCATACAAAAGTCCATGAGTGAAAGAAATTTCTCATAAGAGGATTGCGACGATAGAGGATTACGAAGAAAGACATTCTAAACCGACATATGTATACAGGGTGATTCAAAAGTGAGCGGCATCCTTTCGGGGGCGTATTCCTTGCATAAAAATAAGACAAAAAGTTCCTATTAACATGGGTCTGGAATTGCTTCCTAAGGGAGCTACGCCCCTTCGAATAGGACACCTGAAAGACGTGTTTTTCTGTATAACTTTGAAACTCTTCACAAATGGATTTTGAAAATTGATGTATTTTATAAACATTTAATGGCAATTAAGATACTAAATTGAAAATTCAAAAATTTTAATCAGTGTCACATACTGGGGAGGGTAAAAACATCCCTATTTTTTTATATTCTTCAGGTTTTTGCGAAACATACGCAATGGGGTCTTTCACTAAAATTTGAATACGTAATTTAAGTATAAAATCCCAAAGGAGGGACTATTTTAGGCATATATACCAAAAAAAAAAGTTCTACAAGGTCAAATAAGTTTTTTACAGGCATTTCAAATTGGCTAAATTCAAATTAAATTAAAACGCGCGGATTTGCTGACGTCACATAAATATTTTTCATTTCGCTTGTTGTTACAAAGGAGCTTACCGCCTCGGCTGTGTACCCTGTAGTAAAAGCAGGTAAAGGTTCGAATGCGCTGTTGTCGGTGGTGACTAGATGTAGTGCAACGTAAAAAAATAAAATAAAACTAAACATAAAAAATTGTATTAAATTGTGTTTAAACATAATTTCAATAAAAAAGTTATAAAATCTTGAATCCATAAGTGATTAATTTAACTACTTTTCATGATATTTTGCGAACATTTCAGAATTAAATCTATTACAAATTTTCAATGTCGACAATTAGTGGCAACACGGTCAAATTGCGTGCTGCGACGTCATAGAAATAAATTCTGGGTTTTTATTTGGAGGTAATTCTTTTTTTTCTGTTTTCTCAAGAAGGAATATGAATTTTTCAAAAGTAAAAATACAGAAAATTCTGTCTTTAGTTGCTTTATCCAAATTAGGGATTGCACTACCGGTTTACCGATTTACCGGTTTACCGATTTACCGCCTTAAAAGTTCTTTAAATTACCGACGAAGAAATCGACATTTTTTACCGGTAATTTCGGTAAAAAATGCCAAGCTGACAACAGCGCGGATCTTTCTATGATACAGGGCAGCGTGGACGCCGGACGGGATGAGTCGTAATCGTAAACAAAGATTAAACGGGAACGCAGGTCGCGGCATGATAACTGTCAAGTGAGGATTCAAATCTTTTTGTAGCTGATATTACCTTAAAATTCATGATTGATGAGCCTACAAGTCAAAACATAGTTTTAAGTATTGAACTGAAAGAAGCATTGTTAGATCGTATAAAAGAGAGACGGACCATTTATTCTGATATTCTTCAGTACCTGCATAATCCGTTTCCAGAGGAATCCAGTGGTGAAGATTTTGGAGTATTTAATAAAACCAGCGAATCTACAATAAGAAATGCAATAGTGGGACTAGAAGAGTCATCAGAAAATACAAATAGCATTGACCTCGATGATTCCTCTGATGAGGATGAGGATAACATCCCCCTCAGTCGGGTTTTGGGCCCATCAACATCAAAATCGGATAATACTGCATTGTCGATTAAAGAAAAACTTCAACTAGCGATAAGAAAGAAAATTGATGTAAACAGTACTCTTCCAATTAGAAGACAGCAGGTTAGGCCTAACAGTGTTCATCAATGTGTGAAAACAGAAATGCAATATTTTCGGAAGGAGGGAATTCAGAGGAAATACTTAAAAATGGCTTTCGCACCACTCATGACAACTCGGCCTACTAGTGTGGAGTCCGAAAGAGCCTTTTCTGCGGCAGGAACAATTTGTACTAAGATTAGGCCTCGGCTAAGTGATAATAGTATTGATAAGCTGTGTTTTCTAAGGGCCATTTTTATTAAACAAATAAATCGAAAGAGTCGTTTACTTACTATTTCCAATGTTTTAGGGCCTGATATTAGACTTTAAGTTAGGTATATAAGTTTTTTTTAAAGTTCACCTAGAGTTTTACTTTTCTGTTGTTATTATTTGATAAGAATTAAAGTTTGTTTATTTATTTTGTGGCTTATTCCTTTATTATTTTTTTTATATCGGAAAAAACCGGTAAATACCGGTAAATCGGTAATTTTTTAAATAATTTACCGAATTATCGGTAAATTAAAATTCGGTAAATTTGCAATCCCTAATCCAAATATGCCAATTTCAAAAATTATTGAAAGAGCCCATTCAGAAAATTTTTAAAGTCATTTTTTTCGTAAACGGTTCGCTGTATCGAATTGAACCAAGAGTTCCTTTTCTGTGTAAAAAACTGTAAACTTTTTGAATTTTCAATCAGAATCGCAAAAACCTGACGAGTAAAAAAAATAGGGATGTTTTAACCCTCACCCTCCCTAGTATGTGACGCCACTGATTAAGATTTTTGAATTTTCAAAATCCATTTGTGAAGGATTTCAAAGTTGTAGATTTAAATACGTTTTTCAGGTGTCCTATTCGGAGGGGCTTAGGAAGCATTTCCGGACCCATGTTAATAGGAACTTTTTATCTTATTTTTATGGAAGGAATACGCCCCGGCCCCCGAAAGGATGCCGCTTACTTTTGAATCACCCTGTATACAGTGTGTCCCGTTTAAGGACTGACCACCCTTCTAAAATTTTTATTTTTCAATCGATTCAATTAATTTTTTTTTTGTCCTATGTCTATTCGAATTTGGCACTTATTTGGCTCATAATTTTATTTCTGCGGCTGTACTGGTGTACAGAGTGTCCACATTTATAGGCACAAATTTCAATAAGTACTATTAGGGATTTTTTAAGAAAAAATCTGATAGCAGATTCTTGTTTAGAATGGTCTAAAACCCAACTGTACTAATTTTTGCTTCAATACGATACAGAGTGATGACAATAAATTTTCACAATTTGATGAATCAAACCGCAAAAATGTTATATTTTGAGTCAAGCTTACCACAAATTCTGGTTAAGGATGTTCTAAAACTATGTTGTATCAAGTTTTATTGTTCTCAAGACTCAAGGCCTCAAAATATGACATCTTTCCGGTTCGGTCCATTAAATTTTGGAAATTTGTTGTGATCACCCTGTATCAAATCGGAACAAAAATCAGTACATTTAGGTTTTAGACCATTCTAAACAAGAATCTGCTATCAGATTTTTTCTAAAAAAAATCCCTAATAGTACTTATTGAAATTTGAGCCTATAAATGTGGACACCCTGTACACCAGTACAGCCGCAGAAATAAAATTATGAGCCAAATAAGTGCCAAGTTCGAGTAGATATGAGACAAAAAAAAAGAATTGAATCGGTTGAAAAATAAAAAATTTAGAAGGGTGGTCAGTCCTTAAGTGGACACACTGTATAAAAAAATATTTTTAATAATTGTTTGAACGTTCCTTCCAAATCGCTTTGTCAATTATTATAGGGTGTGATTCAGTACTGAAGAAATTTTAAGCCGGAACTTAATTCGTGACGAAATCGGACAGCGATCCTTCGGACTGTATTGTCTTGCCTAATTTATTTACATTTAAAAACAGGAAGGAAAAGGTGTAACTCTCATCAATTATTTTTGGTACCTAGGCACACAACTGACCCACGATTGGTAATAGCTGAACTACATTCCCTTTGTAAAAAACACAATTTTTCAACAAAAATACCAAAACGAACAAAATACCATAAATTATCCGACCCAGCAAGATTAATAGATAAACAACGTATGGTGTTTTAGATCGCAATCATAATCACATATTAATTGTCTACGGTTGCGCAACCCATGTCATCAGGCTTTGGTCGTTTGTTTTATAGAGTCATGTAAACGTCGCGCGCCAATGGTCGCTGTGGGTGCACTATGGGTCTCTAACCGTTATCATTGCATGATTATTCTCCATTGTGATGACAGGAGTATGTGTAATTAAAAATTGATTAGGTTGGTGGTGTTTCATGTATTTTATTTGGTTGAATGTAAGGAAATTCAACGAATGATTTTGTAGTTCAGTTTTAAGTTAACTGGTAATTTGGGTATGGTATTGTTTAATTAATTTACGTTAATTTTCCTTTCCAACAAGCACCCAAATAATATGATATTGGTTGCACCGATCTTGCGAAGAAGCTGGTAAAATTACACTCCTGCGCAAAACTACAAAGGCAAGCCGCTAAGAGATAAGAACTGGAATTTTACAAATAATTTTCTTAGAACATTTGCACATCCCACCTGGTAGCGCATTCAATACCTTTTAGGTATGACACATCAATGTCAAATGAATCGATCACGTTTCTGAATTTTTTTTCCATTATTCCAAATCAAACATTATTTCAATGCCCCAACTTAAAATCTTGTTAATGAAAAATCTAATGTGAAAAAAAATGACGTCCCTTCAATGCGATAACATCCTGCAAGAAGATCCAAACGATGGCCTTGGCCCGGAAACTGAATTCCTGTCGATGAGCAGCATTATGGAAAGTACAAATTTGATTTATGAAACGATGCGCGATACCCCACGTCCTGTGGCTGTGCAACGGAAACGTCCACGTTTTACTGGGAGAATCAAAAGTGCCAAACCTGATGGTATCAAATCAAAGAACCCACTTAGCCTTTTGCCTTCAGTATCTCATATCCCACTGCGATCGAAACCACAACCAATAAAGGTTCCTGCTTTAATCAAAACTGGTTCATCCTCTAGCTGTAGACCTCTCTCATTATCTGCAAGTCGTAATAATAATTGTACTGATACCAAACACACTTTGGAAGTTCAATTTATCAATAAAAATAAAATGTTTTTGCAAATGAAGCGTGAATTGAAAGAAAAACAAATGCCTGTTGTGGAGCTACATAAAACTTTGATGAAAATTAAGACAAAATTGGAACAATTTGGAAAATTTGTTACATTGGAAAATATAGAAAACGTTAAAAGTTTACCACAAGAAGTAACCCAACACATGAGAAACTATTTGGAACAAATACCAAAAACTACGAGGGACGTTTGTAAAAGCTTACTCAGCAGCAGAGATCAAATGGTGGAAATTTTAGAGAAACTAGCTAACTCCGAGTTTAATCTCTCTGATGTATCAACTAAATTAGAAACTTTAAAAAATGAAGGTCAAACACTGGAAAGTTCCTTAGAAGCCGTGATAGCAGGCCAACAAGGAAACATAAATGAATTAGTTGGTAAATGGGAATCCCTTTCAAGTTCCAAACATTCTGAAGAATTGGAATTTCAAGGTCAAGAACATGAGAAACTAATGCAAGAATCTAACAATGTAATTAATAATTTGCAACGCAAAATGAACGAGCGTAGAGTGGCTTATGATAAATCACAAGCCGAATTGAATGGTAATATGCATTCTTTAAGAACTCAATTACGACAACTTGAAAATGATTTACAAAATGAACGTAATGACACTAAGCAAATTAAAAGCAAGCATACAGCAGATACTAAAATGATTAGAACGATGAAAGAAAAAATTATCGAATTAGAAAATAACAAAGTGATTTCAGATGCTGCCACTGCTGATTTGCAATGGAAACATACACTTTTACTAGAAAACCTAAAAAATAAAGAGAGTCAATGGAACCAAGAAAAACTAGAAATGGATAGGACCATGAACCAACAAGAGGGCATCTTAAAGCAAATTGCATATGGAAAAACTGATTATGACGCAACTTTAGAAGTTATTGACAGTCAAAAAAGTGAGCTACAGAACGAAATTGAATATTTACGAAATCAGGTCCGTAAGTTTTATAAGGAAAGTAAAGAATCTGCAAAAGAAAGAGACGAAGCACGAGAAAAATGTGCCGAATTAACAAATCACATCGCAGATATTAGATTTCAAAATAAGGAAATTGCGAATAAAGTTTGCGATGACATGAAACACGATGTTTTCAAAGAAGCTGAACAAGATCTAGAAATAAGAGAGCTGAGAGACAAAGTAATTCGTTTAGAAAGAGAAAATAGCTTTCTGTTAGAAGAAAGAATGTCGATAGATAAAAATAAACCTAGTGAAATGGAGAAAGAAGTTTCAAAACTAGAAGATTGTATTTTTAAACATAAATTGCTATTAGAAGAGAGTGAAAAGAAACTAATGCAAAAATCCACTGATATATTAAATTTAAGATTCGAAATGCAACAGCTTAAAGAAAGAGAAGAAACTATTAGCTCAAGTTGCCCTACTGGGCACTTGCAGCAGATTATTTATGAAAGTCAACATAGGCTCGATGCATTACGGAAAATGACAATCGAAAATGAACAAACATTAGAACAACACACTTATATGATGGAGAAAAAAGACTTAGAAATAAGTTACTTAAAGAATTTAGTGCAATACCGTGCCAATATCACTAACCTATTAAAAGAAAACAGAGAGGATTTGTTACTTGAAAGAGTAAGTTTGTCCAAATATTCTAGCGAATTGCAAGAGCATTTGTCAAGCTCAGTTAAATGTGGCAAAATGAAAGAAGAGCTGATTAAAGAATTACAAGATATGATCGAATCAAGAGACATACAAATGCTGAACATGGAAAAAGAAATCGAAGATCTTGAATCGAACTTGGTAATAACAAACGACAAAAGGTTCAAATTGCAAGAAACTATCGAGTGGATGGAGAAGGAAATACAGTTTACTAAGGCACGCGTTATTAAACTGACCGATATTAATACTAGAAGTGGACGTAAAAAAAAATAGATAATTTTTAAAACATTTCAAATAAATCTGTGTATGTTTTTAGGTATTTTTGAATAGACAAAATTATTTTTCTAAAAAACACGGTTGTTTGAATTCCATGAAACGTATAGATGGCATGAGTTCCTGCATTGGTGAAGAAATAAGAATATCTTTCTTTTGGTTCTTAATCTGAAAAAGTTCTTCATTCATTATGTGGTGTGGGAAAAAAGCTATCAAAACCCTTTTAGAAAATGATTTTGCCACAAGGCTAAAGCTAAAGCAATCAGATAGTCATTGGTAACCTTATACCTTATTATCACACTAACATACTGTTTTTTCTTTCATCCAAATATTCACTTACATTCAATCAAATTTTCTTCACAAGTTTTTTGTGTTCTTCAGTGGTTACACAATTTGAAAAGAAACTTTTATCTGAATTTCATCGAGAATCTCATCGTCAAATTTTATGGATTTTTACATGTCTCTTTTAAGGTTTAAAGTAAGCCCTATAGTTTATTACAGCAACGCAAGATGTCAATGCTGTCGTCCCTATAGTGTGCCCTAACTTGACTGTCAAAAAAAAATAGAAATCTTCATTTGGTTAAATTGTGTGTTGGAACGTTTTTTCTTTTTTTGGCGGAAATTCGAAGTATTATTCTGTTTTACATGAACAGGGTTTGTAGTTTCGACCAACGCAAATAATTTTGAACGTTCATCCGTCGGATTTTTTTCTAGACAGTGTAGCTACGGGCGTATTTCCAACTATTTTTGCAGTAGCGAGAAAACTACAAGTTCAAAAAGTTCGAAAAAAATATATGTCGCGTAGAATTGCAATAGTAGTTCGTAATAAAAATAATGGGAAACTTCATCAATTCGTTTTGAAATAAATGGTAAAAAACTACTTTTTTTTCAGTTTTTGCGATATAACTCAAAAATGACGAGTCAAATTTGCTTGAAAAAATTATGGATTAAAGTATATTGATAACCATAAAACATATATTTTTTTATTGGAATTTTTGAACACAAGGTTCAGAAAATAGGGGTTGACTTTAAACCTTAAGGTTATCACAACTTTCTTTTTTATTTATCTTTTCGCTTAGGGTTACCAAATCAATCCACAAAGCTAGATTTCAGTCGAAACCAGAAACAAAAACTTACTTTACGAATAATTACTGAAGGAGCCTATAAAAAAGTATCCTTAGGAACTACACGCAACAACTTCATGCGGAGAATAGCAAAAGATATTTCAATGAAGAATATGAAGGTGAACCGTCTGCAAAAATACTGAAATCAGAAATCCTCAAAACAAATAGGAAAGCAGCTAGCTGGACCAGAATATGTATTTACAGATAGGTAATGAAGCTGCTGAATGACGAGAACGTAGACTTCTTGGTGGTAATATTCAACAATATATATTATGACATGATCGAGATACCACAGGCTCCAGACAATTTTTGTGCCGATCCCAAAAACACAGAAACCACTGCGATTATACTTCAGAAATTCGGAGGCCAGCGTAAGGTCATTTTCATGTGTTTCATAGAGTATCAGAAGGCGTTCGACTGTGTCAAGCACACTGAGGTAATAAAGATGCTTCAAGATTGGATGATAGATAAGAACCATCTACGATTTAAAAAGAACCTATACATAAATCAAATAGCATCGGTCAGAGTGGGAAGTAACACTACACAGTTATTCCCGATAGAAAGAGGAGTAAGACAGGGTTGTGTTCGGCCTTGAAGGACGCAGAGGACGGCATCAAGATTAATGTACAGGTTGTCAATAACATACGTTACGCCGATGACAGTCATAATAGCAGACGACCAAGAAAGCATTACAACGACTTTTTGATAAAATACCTATCGAACTATCGAATACGAACGACTCGGTCTAAAGAGTAGCATAAACAAAACGAGAGAAATGATGATGCGCAGAAAACCAAATGTGCACTTGAATATCACAGTGAATGGCGTGAAGATCCAGCAAAGTTTAGATATCTCGGAAGCTAAATAACTGAATTGAGCAAGCCAACATTTATGAATATGAGAGCTCTTCTCGGCAACAGCAGTCTTAACTTGACATTACGATACCGTTTTGTAAAATGCTATATTTACTCCGTGCTGCTCTATGGAATGGAGACATGGACAATAAAGGAGAGTGTCATAAACCGACTGAAATCCTTTGAAACGTGGGTATCCAGAAGAAGTACTGGAAAGAATGGGAAGAGAGACAGAGAGCTGTTACAGATAGTGAAAACTGAAAAGAAAGAAAACTGCATAAGTATTTTCAGAAATTCCAAGTATCAATTCCCAAAGCTGATGATGGAAGGAAAGATCGAGGGAAAGAGAGGCATCGGCAGCCTTATTCTGTAACTTGCAACCGCAGAGAATTGCGCAATTGTCGCTGTCAAGTCGTTGCCCAACGCGAGTTTACTATTCAGAAAAAGCAACTCGCGACCGGTTGCTGGTTGCTATGTAATTGCTGTTCGTAGAGAATAAGCCTGCGGGAGGAAGAAATATAAGTGGCTAAAGAACATAAGAGACTGGACAAACCTGCACACCCATGCACTTTTCAGTGCCGCGCAAGATCGGAAAGAATATGCCAGAATTGTCCCCATCATTAATGGATGAAATGGATGTAAAAGATACGACTGTACAGGGTGGCCCATTTTTGATGTTTTGATGGGCTATATCAAAAACCAGCAGAGATATCAAAAATCTGGGAGCTTATACTCGAGCTTTTTTTTTGGGAAAATAACAATGGCGAAGACAAATCACGGCTAACTTGATGCGTTTAGGAAATACAGGGCACTTTTCAAATTTTGTCCAATTTTAAAAGACTCTCTAATTTCCTTATTATTCAAGATATCCAAAAACAAAAAATACTTTCTATAGGCAGTTTTTCAAGTAGAATCCAGTGGCATGACCAATTTTTGTCCAGATGCCACCGATTTTGGAATATTAACCAAAGTTTTGCTTTTTTAAATGGGACACCCCGTATATTATTTTTTGATTGAATAGCTCTTTGTGAGCTGATTTCAATGATATAAGGTTTTATGCCTTTACCTTCAATAGTTTTGGTGAAAAAAAATAAATTCCGTTTTTTCCATCAGAAACAATGAGTTAGAAAGAAATAGTTGAACTATGAATCGGCTACAAATTTCTTAATTCCTAATCTAATTTTTCAGTTCAGGTATTCTTTTTTAAATTTGAACTATGAATCAGGGGTGATAAATTGGCAACACATAATTTATTTAATGACTTATCTCTCTCTAGCTCATTGTTTCTTATGGAAAAACGGAATTAATTTTTTTTCTCCAAAACTATAGAAGGTCAAGGTATAAAACCTTATATCATTGAAATCAGCTGAAAAAGAGTTATTCAATAAAAAAAATAATATACTGGGTGTCCCATTTAAAAAAACATAACTTTGGTCGATATTCCAAAATCGGAGGCATCTGGAGAAAAATTGTTCATGCCACTGGATTCTCCTTGAAAAACTGCCTATAGAAAGTATTTTTCGTTTTTGGATATCTTGATTAATAAATAAATTAGAAGTTCTTCTAAAATTGTTGAGACACCCTGTATTACCAGTTATAATGCTGTGTTGCTGGTTGCATAACCTCAACATTAACTAAAGAGTAAAGGCACAAAGGCCATGCCACATAGCAACACAACTACATAGAATATCTTACAATGGATAAGGCACCTTAAGAAGAAGAGCCCATGAAATGCCATATTTCGCCCAGACCAAAAGATTTCTTCAAGTAAAATGTTCAAGTATTTGCTCCAACTGAACCATTTGGAAATGCCCGATGAAAAATTGCTCAATCGTAGACATTAGATCTGTTTTCACAGAAATCACAAACCAGTCAGAGCAAATTTCATTGATTGAAAATAGTCAGGAAACTGGTTGTTTGGCGATTTGGACCAATCAAAAACGCTCTGACTGGTTTGGGATTTCTGTGGGAACAGACCTAAGACATCAGTGTTGGAAGTTGCTTTCGTTTTCCCTTTATTCATCATCATTGTTCATACCCAAAGGCCTAAATCAGAAAAAAATATTATTTTAATTTAAATTTCGCATTATCCTTGGCAATATCTTAGTTCCAAGTCGTCCGCAATTGGCAGCGCCAACCAAGGATTGAGCGCGCGCGACAAGGATAGTCATTCGGTTCTGTAGAGTTCAACAGTAAACATTACCTTTTTGTTTGTAACGAATATTTCCTAGTTTGTACAATAAACCATCAAAATAAAAGTTTACCATCTTATTTATTCAGCAATTTATACAGTCCACTATCAACCAAATACACATTTTTGGTCCCATCGAGCGGATGGTAACTTTTCGAAATGGATTTGTGATGGAATGTTGAAATAAATTGTATTAATAGGCAGCCATTTTTGTACATGGAGACTTCACGTACTCCCCTTGACGACGATCAGCGGTTGGCAAAGCCTACGCTGTATGACGACCAGGCCGAATCATCGAGTGAGTCAATTCCAATTATTAAAAAGTAGATTTGCTAGACTAAACGTAGACTTACCTGACACGGTTCGTTAATATTTTTATTACATTTCTTTTTGTGTTCATTCGAACAATTGCTTGACATAGCAAAATGGCCGATTTAGGCAAATTAAGAATTAGAAGAGGCCAATTAAAAAGCTCATTAACTAGATTTCAAACGTTTCTTGATTCTCTTGATATAAACAACATTGACACAATCAAAATTGCACAAATTAATGCACGATTAAATAAAATTCAACCCTTGCTTGAAGAATTTACTGAATGCCACAGTGAAATTGAGCAAAATGTACCTCTTGCTGACATGCAAAAGGAAAGTGACGAGATAGTGACCTTTGAAAATGAGTTCTATGATGCAGTTTCGAGAGCAACTGTCATAGTATCAGAATTTGAAGACAAACATTTAAAACCTAATAACACCAACTCCGTCAGGGGTACTCAGTCTCAAGGGTCACAGGGTGGTCAAAGCCAACAAAGTGTTCAGGGAACTTCCTCTTTTT